CAGAGCAGACTGAGTGCTCCTGGCCACACCAGCCCCATATAGGAGGCGAGGGCTGAACCAGCAAAGCACGCAGGAGCTTTGCCATGAATTTCCACGGTGAAAACTGGGCCCTTGGTCAAAGCAAGCAGAATATTTCGGATTCGCTTCTCTTCCAAAACACACACGCGTGTCCACAGGCATGCTCAAACCGATTACACACCCACAGTATCACTACCACTGTAATCCCAGCTCCACTCTCAATAGCAGACACCAAGTTTAAACAGCAATTAAAACCTCCGAGAGGCACAGCAGCAGCAACACAGTTGGAGGCAATTTAAGCTTCATTCACATTTACATTGCCTTCAAATCCATGCAAGATAATTTTAGAAAATTCTTTATAAGCAAAGCCAGTACTTTGTCAGCTAAAAGGGTCTAAGCACCCTCAAAAAGTTTAAGAAAAAAATAAGTAATTGAGGTTTCCTCATGACAGAGATCCAAACTCTTCGATTTCACTCGGTGGTGGGAGAAGACCAAGGGGAGTGGGGAGGGCGTCCAAGATCAGATGCAGTGTCAGCAGCTCCAGGAGAGGACTGCACTGGAGGTGAGAGGCATTTGATGCAGGGTCTGTCCGCAGCTCCCAAGGGATCCATCAGAGGGGAGCAGGAAAAGCAAGGCTGGATTCACCAGGGGCGACCACTAAAGAGCTGCAGTTTCACACTACCCAGACTTCACGCCAGAAAGTAACTGCCAAATCTCACAGACTGTTCTTCTTTAAAATAAAAGTGAACCCCACGATTCTGTGCAACCACTGTCCTGGTAGGAGTGACACCTGCTACCCCCACAGTGTGACTTCTTCTGCAGCACTCAGCTCAGGCTGGGCACCTCACTGCAAGAAGATGAAAAGGGGCGGTGGGGGTGTCAGAAAAACACAACAAAGCTGATAAAAAGCTTCAGAAACCATCACACGAGGAGAAGTTAAAAGCTGAGTATGGAGAGCTCAGCTAAGGATTAGCTGATGTGCGGGCAGAGGAAGGCTGGTGGTCAAGGACAGATATGTGAAGGATGTAAATGTTAAAGGAAGCAAAACAAAGCACATTGAAAGGAAGCTTGAACTGATCATCAAGAGAGGGGGGGGGAAAAAAAAAAAAAGACTGAAGATGTCTGCCAGAGCATAGAGGGCAGAGATGCCATACAGTGTGGAGTGCCTGAAAATGGGTTAGACAAACTCTAGGACTTCTCTTAATTGAGCAGCAGCAGCGAGATCCTGTGGTGCAACAGGCTTTTCCACCTCCAACTGTCTTCTAGATCAAAACAAAAAGGAAAAAAAACCCAAATGCCAGCAGGATGGCTTCTCCTCATGCCACACAAACACTTGGTTCTCCCCTGCGCCGACCCGGCATTTCTAGCGAGTGACAAATCTGGTGAGAAAAGGCTTGGTCTCTGTGTCACTGTGATCGGACAGACACAGCACAACTGTACAACAGGCGAGAAATTATGAATTTGCTCTTTTAAAAAGACTGCACAATGGCCTGTGATTCTGAATAACCCACAGAACTGCAAGACACAACCCTTCTTGCTTTACCAGGTGCCATGAAAGTGATACAGTGTGCCTCTTCCTCCCGACACGCTGTCTAAACCAACCTTTCTCCAGCCTTGGGTACCAGCCAGCAGGAACTCTTTGCTGCTCCAGCACGCACAGCAGCTGCAGGGGAGCATCAGATCCTCGGTGATGTGTAGTGATAAAGGGCAGAGAAAGGAGACAATAAAAATACGACACTGTTACAAACTGCCTCACATGTTACTAGTGAGCAGTCCAGAGGTTTTGCTCAAAAAGTCGTCCTCAAGGCGTTTTCCCCTGCATCGTTTACAAGCCCCCAGAGCACATAACGGGTCCTAGCGAGCTTTCCAAGTGGCGCAGTGCTCATGTTTGACAAACTGCCACCCGTTACAGGTTGCTGGAGGGCATCACGTGGCTGCATCTTCTCTGCTCAAGGCTACCCTTATCTAGTGGTGCCATTCCCAGCTCCTGGGACCTCAGCAGCGTACTTTCCATACACCTTTTAATATCAAGCTACTGGCAATAGCCTCAATCCCTATCAACCTTTATAATTTCTGAGGAGAACAAACTGTCTTTACATTTCCACACCTTGATCTCTTCTAGTCCAGACCAGCACTTCACTGCCAATACCGCAGCCATGAAGCTCTTTAAGGCAGTCTTTCAACAACCCAGGCAAAAAAAAACAAACCAACCCCTTGCTCCCCAGCTTTTCTGCCCATGGATTTCATCATGCAAAGAAAAAAAAACATTATAACAGCAGTTCACAATCACGTCATTTTTATGGAATAAATGCCAGTTGGTCTCTTTCCTTTGACATTTAACTAATAATTGTTACAGCCAAATAATCTGACAGCACTGAGCTCAGTAGCCCGTAAATGCCTCTGGTGTTTTACTGAACGCTGAAGATGATGCTTGCTGCTCCCCAGCACATGTGGTTGTACACACACAGTTCCTCCTTAACCCTCCAGCCCTCTCCGAGCTCATGAATCAGCTGGCTGCAATGACTCGCTGGGATTAAATTTAGCAGTCTGTTCCACTGCCACCCCAGGCACACCTTCCACGCACCCACCCGTGTGGGCAGAGGGAAGGAGGGGGAGAATAAAAGGAAGCCGGTACCTCCTACTCAGGGTAAGAGAGACAGTAAGGGGACTGGAATTCACTTCTCGGTAACTCCCTGCCGATTGCTACCCGATACCTTCCCCAGCCCTCAAACCCTGGCACCTCTCTTGTAAGCTTCCCAGTTCCAGCTGTAGTACAGCCTTTGTACGTTTCCTTTTAGTCAGAACTGCTCCCTTCATTACAGATCCCTTCACCAACCCCTTCTCCTTCATACTCCCTGCACCTTCTTGTTTTTCTGAGCTGCAGGCTACTAATATTGCACACAGAGGCATCACAAACTGCTTTTTCTCTTCTGGTGTGCCTCTTGCAAAAGGTACCAGGCTGTGCTCCCTAGGGTGCCCATTACCTGTTGACTCAGCTGCTGTCACATCAGCCTCACCAGGATGTTCAGCACTTCTTGTACCGAGAGATGGTGGTTCTGCATGCCAAGAGCTAGCTGTACAAGTCTCTGGCTGAAGATAAATGCATCTAAAAAGCAGAATGTATTTCAACACAGACAGCATTACTGGTGGCTGTGCTTAGCGGGAAGGAACAAGCGACTTTAAAGGGGCAATCACTTCTAAGCTGGGTCCATACGAACAGCTTTTAGTGGCCCAAAACCTCCCTGGACATCCAGCTTAATTTAGGAGAGACCTTAACAGTATGCAACCACTCCTCAGGCCAGGATCTCAAAGCACTTTACAGGCTTATTGTCACACCTTTGTAGCTCTGGCACAATTCCCACATCAGAACCGAGGCACAAGGCGCTGCGTGGGGCAATCCGCAGTGGCAGATCCAGGCTGAGCCACACAGGCTGCCAGCACTGACAAACACCGACCCACCTGCCACGTCCCCTGCTCAATACCAGACGTGCAGGGAGAAGCACGCTAAGGCAAACGGTCCCCTGGAGAGCTCCCGACATGCCCTAAAGCGACGGCCACCGTGCGCAGGGTCTGCGAGCCTCCGTGGAGTGACTCGCACGCCGCTGTGAACAGACCTTCTGCTTTCTGTGCCAGCAACTGCAGTGGGGGGAACTGCAGCGGCACAGCTCGCCCGGACGACAGCAGGAAGATGCAAGGCAAAGGCTTTACGCCGAATAAAGCTTCTCTCACCCAGCTGATGCAGGAGCACGTTGATGAGGTGATCTTGTAACTACCTCCCCCAGTGCCATGACGCTATCCGGTTAATCATGCAACGAAGCGGTCAGCGATACTGTCTGCACACACAGTGTCCCTTACCAGCAACGATCTGACACCGAAGCTATGTATCTCCACTTTATAGAGGTATTTTCTAAAAGAAATCCCTCTACTTCAAGAGGTGTCTTTACCATGAGGACAGAAATAGAAAATCCTTCTCCACCAAAACACTCCTTCACACACGATGATTTGCTTTGTCATGCCACTTCAGTATGCGCACAGTGGCCACAGCTTAAAAAATTAAGAGAGATCTCCTGGGTGAGCACACAGAAACTTTATAACAATACCTGCACACCTTAAAAAAATAAATCTTTTTTACTTGTAGCAACGCCAGCACAGGCCAACGTACAAAACGTCAACAAATTCATTTCCATCCCCTGGCACGCTGTTAGAGCTCTCTCCATTTTGGGTCATACCAGGCAGCTTCAAATTACATCGCATCTGATCTGCTGCAAGGAAAGACAAGCTCACCATGGTACAAAGCGGCAGAAAGGAGAAAAAAAAAAAAAGCATTCAGGATTGTCAAACCCGCGACGGGCGAGGTACTCCACACTCGGCATGGTGCCAGCAAGCCCACACAAGGACCCTCAGCAGCCACAGTGGCAAGGAGCATCTTGAGATGCCTGGATCTCACCACTGGTCCTTACACACGGGAGCTGCTCCAACGATCCTCAGTACGTTACTGATGGAGAACAAAGAGAGGGGATGCGGGCTCCCCGAGACACTGCTGAGATGCTCAGCTCCCAGTGGATCAAGATCTGGAAAAAGGTGAGCTCTGGCCTCACTGGGCTCCCTCCGTACCTCCTGCATCCATTCAAGCCCCTACATGCCCTTCACCCAGGACGACCTGGAGGCCAGCGATGCAGGTGCTGCCCTCACTCATGTTCAAAGCTGCCAACGTCACCAATGCCTTCGCTCATCACCCCCTCAGTGAGCAGGGGACCACCAAAGGCCCAGCACAGAGGCTCTTGGCCAGGTTACACCAACCGCAATGCTCTGTGGCCAGAAATCATCATCTCACCTGGCACGCAGGGGCTCCTTTCCCTGGGGGTCACGCTGCCCCGCAGACAGGAGTGCCAGGCAGTTGTGAGGGGACGCCCTGGCCTGACAAGGCCCCACAAGGGCCGGGGTGGGCCCAAGCCCGGTTCTGGGAAAGCCGCTGGCCTCACCTGTTCAGCGCCATAGGCTGTGGCAAACTGGACAAACTCCTCCACACGCACGAAGCCATCGCCGTCGCGGTCCAGGGCATCGAAGACCGGGCGGAGGCGCGGCTCCTCTTCTGACGGGGCCGGGGGCTCGGCGAGGCTTTCCAGGGCCGGGCAGCCCCCCTCCTCCGGCGGGGACCACGGCGGCGGCCCCGGAACGGGCTCGGCGGCCTC